GTTCTGTTGTTCGTTCTTGGAGTACGTACACAGTCCTTATAATTCTGAAGCGCAAACACGCCCGGGAGGTGTTTGGTGTTTTGTGCTTTACCAGTGGACATCTCTCCATAGAAGTCCAAGACTTTGCGTTTATGCTTTTGAGGCCGGCGACGAGCCTAAACTGAAACGAGCCTCAACACTCTGCCTCTTGGTCTTACTCCCTGAGACGACATCATAGGAAAGTCTAAGCGCAAAGCCTTCACGTCAATCCCGTACTTCTTACCTGTGATGCGCTGAACATCCCAAATGACACTTGGACCACTTGCCGCAGCTGTACGCCAGCCAGGAAGCAAGCCAAAGTCAAGTTGCCATACAGCTGACCAAAAGTAAGCATCAGTCCTGCCTTGTCAAACAGACAGCAATGAAGTTACTCGAAGCTGATGTAGAACTTCAGAACACTGACCACAGCGGCAGTGCTCAAACACTGCCTTGGAGACCTTTAACGAAGATATGTGCAGTTTAGCAAGAGTAGCGTTTATGGTGCTGCCAAAGGAGAGCAGCAAAAGCAAATAAGATAGCAGCTCTACCTGTAGCGGCTGGGCTCAATGTCCAAGTCCAGAGTTCAGGGTTTAAAGGGCGGTCTATGTTGGGCTAGACGCCGGCTTTAGGGCTAAGGGAACACCCTCTCAACCAGTAAAACTGTCGAGTCGACCCCAAGCAACAGCTCTGACATGTCGTCTGCTGAACTTTTAACGAGGCTCGTGAGAGGGGGCGGGCGGAGTTCTTGAAGATGTCCTGTTTGGGGGTTTAGGTTTTAGGGGTGTAGGGTTTAGGGTTCAGGGTTTAGGGGTGTGGGGTTTAGGGTTTAGGGGTGTAGGGTTTAGGGTTTAGGGTTTAGGGGTGTAGGGTTCCCTAACCCCTAAATACTGCCCTACCTCCGAGACTAGGGCGGGCCTTCTTTGGAGGGCAAGCGAAGGAGGGAACGTGCTAAGTTGGGCTTCGACGGTTCTGTCGTCCATGGCAGCTTTGCTTAGGATTCCGTGGATATATATTTGATTATATTTGTTTATTTGTTCGTTTATATTGTGTTTGTGATTTACATATATACATACACATGTACAGACCATGGCAAGGCGCAGTACCTCGCAGACAGAACCCTAGTCATTATCGGGCTATCTTATTGACCAGCTTGGTCTGGTGCAGAGAGATGGACGATAAAGCCCTAAGCGACCGTGCTAGCAGACAACCCGGCAAATGTAGCCCTAACCCGTTCCGCTCACTCTCCTGCAACACGCACATAGCACAACAGCACAGAGCCACTCTCGCTATATCGCGCAGTGCAATCTTCAAATTTCTTCAGAGACTCTAAGCCCCAAACCCTCAACCCTAAACCTTCGAAAAAACCGAAGGCGTTTACATTGCGCAGGCAGGGCATGGTCCGGCCTGGCTGTCCTCGTCTTCGGCTGCTGTTGCTGTTGGCAGCGTCCCCCGGCAGAGATTTTATGGTGATCCGAATTCAAACCCTCAGGGTTTAGGTTTAGGGTGTAGGGATCACTAGCTAGGCCCTCCAATGTCGTTCCTCACTTTTGTTAGTTTAGCGTGATCAGCGAGGGGCAATTTCTTGCATGCACTTAGGTGTTCGTTCTTGACCGTTCAGTTCGGCGTGCTTGGTGCAACAGTCGCACAAAGTCAGATGTCTTAATAGCACGAGCTCTGTTGTAACATATGTAACACCAGAGGAACACAACAGCGCGCACACACACACACATACACTACTGTGTAACATGCTAGCCGAGCTGTGTTTTACACGGTGTTCTTACGGCATTTAGCAACAAGCGTTTTGGTTGATGGGCCTCCGGGCCTGTCTCCGCTGCTGCCCGGAATCATTTTCCTAAGCCCTAAGCCCCACGCTCGACAAGAAGCCCCAAAGCCAATCCCAAATCTCTCAGCCTGAAACCTCGAGCCTATACCCAACTACGACACTACGTCTCTTGGGTTTCGGGTCTGGGGTATAACGCTCAAGACAATCTACTACTCGGGGTGTCTACAAGTCTAAAGCCTATGCTAAAGAGCTGGGGATGATGAGAGGCTAGGTGTCAGGGTTTAGGGCATGAAACTTTCGACTACCAGAGGACCCAATGCGCGTTTGTGTGGCTCCTCCTACCGATGCAGGTGATACTGGTTCGGAATCACAGTATCGGTCGTGTCTTTTTCAACCACTTCAAAGTCGATCCTTATCGAACTGGATCTAGCAGAACAGGTGAAGTCAGCTAGATTGTTCGATTGGCCAGGTAGTTCTTGAGTTATTGAGCGTCGTTCTGCCAAAAGACCGTGTAAAGTATTTGCAGCAGCTTCCCTCACCCTGCCACTAGTTGAATGCTCTCTCTATCTCTCTCTCTCTAATATATATATATACATACATACATACATACATACATACATACATACATACATACATATCGCCTCCAAGCCCTAATCGCTTACCCCTATCCCGCACGCTCCGGGCCCTACTGGCTTGGAGCCTTACAGGTGTGCCGCAGCTTGGCCGGCATTCGCCGTGGGGCGAAGGCCTGACCTGGCCCCCCTAAACCTCAAAGCAAACCTGGACCCTAAAGAACCTACCTCTTTAGGGCGTTTTTATTATGGGTTCTTTATATCAGTCCTTAAAAAGGTAGGTTATTTGGGGTTAAGGTATACCCTATAGCCTAAACCCCTGATGAGTTTTACCCTAAACTTGAAAGCCCTAAACCCCTAAGCCCTATAACCCTAAACCCGAAACCTCTAAACCTCTCCAACATATATTGATTTAAACTTTCATGCCTTCGTGGTTCAAGGCCAATCGTTCGTGATTTAAGGCCCATTGTTCGTGCTTTAAGGCAAATCATCGCTTTTTTGCCTCGAACCACGAAATTTTTGCCGTGAGCCACGAGTATTCGTGGTTTGAGGCCAGGCGGTCGTGGTTTAAGGCGAAATCGTTCGTGGTTTAAGGCCAATTGTTCGTGGTTTAAGGCCAATTGCTCGTGGTTTAAGCCAAATCGTTCGTGGTTTAAGGCCAATCCTTCGTGGTTTAAGGACAAGCGTTCGTGGTTTAAGGCAACGCTGACAATTCGTGGTTTAAGGCAAATCCCTAACATAGTAGTCCCAACCCTAAAATAAATAGTCCGAATCCTGGTCCGAATCCGAAAAGAATAGCCCAGATCCTAAAATAGTAGTCCGAATCCTAGTATTGTAGTCTGAACCCTAAAAAGGGTGTCCGATCCTCTGCAACCCAACAAAAATAGTAGTCGTAGTCCGAGACCGAAAAAACTAGTCCGAGCTCTAAAGAAAATGGACCGAATCCTAAAATAGTAGTCCGAACTTTAAGATGATAGTCGGAGCCGTGAAATTGTAGTCCGAATCCTAAAATAGTAGTCCGAATCCTAAAAAAATAGTCCCACAAATAACAGTTCGAACCCGAAAAATAGTAATCCGAACTAAAATAGAAAGGTCATTGTTGAATATAGATTATTGAACCGACTTTGTGGTCTAATGAAAGTGTTCTTCATAGGATGCTCTGGGTGGGGGGGTGTTACACCAAAACCGTAAATACAACTTTGCTAATAGTACTGCTCGATCCGGAGCTGCTGCACCCTAAACCCTAAACCCCTAAACCCCTAAACCCTCACCCCCTAAACCCCTAAACCCTAAATCCCCCTAAACCCTAAACCCCCCAAACCCCTAAACCCCTCAACCCTAAACCTCCCAAACCCCTAAACCCCTCAACCCTAAACCCCCCAAACCCCTAAACCCCCCAAACCCGTAAACCCTAAACCCCTAAACCGATCGACATCCCCAAGACTTGTTCCCTGTAGCCTCGGTCTCTTTGGGACTCTGCTAGGAGGACTAAGGGGAATTCGTACATGTAAGCCACGAGCAGAATGAAGTGTCAAGCGTATCCTTAGGCTGCCTTAGGCTTTAAGGAGAGGTTCCAGTTCTATTCCGATACATAAAGCCAACTCGCCTCCAAGTACGAATTTAAAGCTGTGCCTGGAGCCACGACTGTAGTGAAGTGAAGCGAAGGCCTAACATCAACACGGAACACCTTTGAATTGTGGGCCTGGTCACATGTCATGTATATAATCGGAATCTCGTTTTCGGGCGCAGAGAGTGGTTCCGGAACGAAGGCCAAGAGAACTCCGGCATCATTCTCGAGCGTTCAATACAAGCACTAAAGGGGGCTTAAATAATTACCACTCCGTAGTAAAAGTATAGTATCATACCCCACCAAGACCCTGTTCTCGAGTTTGATTCGATGATCAACGTCGCACAGATATTATATCTAAAAGTTGATTTCCAACATGGATAAGGCTTGAAAATCACAGATGAGGCGCAAGCCCTCCTAGTTTCGCTTGCCCGAACTATCCGGTTACACCCCAAAACCCTATCCTCATTCTTACGGCCCCTATACTACAAGACTGCAGCCCCCAAAGCCTCAGCCCTAAAAAGCCCTGAGCGCTCAACCTCTTGCTGTTTCAACTTGTACTGTTTTGGCCCTCATCTCAAGAAGTCCCAAGAAGATTGGCACCACAATGAGTAGTTCTCAGTTCTCTAAATCAGGGTCCCATTTACGGTCCTTTTCACAAGGGTGCTGCCTCCCTTTGGGTTCCGAAAAAAAGGACCCACATGTAGAGAACTACCCACATCTTGTTCTCCAAGGTTCTGATGTTTTGATTCATCTCAATGGACCGAGTGCTCCAATCCCCAACATGTAAACTTCTGGTTTCTGATAGCACTGAATGTGAATCAGCAGCCTCGGTTTGCTAAGGTCCTTGGGCAAGTAAGCTCACAAACCGGATAGTGGTTGTTCTTGGCAGAAGCACGACACTGATGTGATTGATACTGTTTCGATCGAAGCTTGCAAGGTTTAGATGGGACTAAACAGAAACTAAACAGACCCCATGAAGCCTACCCTGAAACTGCTTGGCCCCAACCAACAAGTCACCCTCAAAACAGCTTCGCAGATCCACGATGCCTGAAAGCAGGATCCCGAACCACGTTCGGACCAGAACGCCGCGCGCCCACGACTCGGTTGAAGGAGTTGGCAGGTGCTTAGTCTATAGGGCAAACCTACATCCCAAATTCTTCGGCTTTAAAACTTAAACCCGCCAGCCCTTGTAAGCCCTCGAATTAAACCGCGAGCCTGGGGTCAAGGTTTCTGACTTCAAGGACCTTTGTGTAATTGGATGTCATTGGGATTTAGGGCAGGGGGCTGGGACAGCTTTGTTGCAGAGAGAGGGTCAGAGCCTTCCCGCCGCACCCGTTCGCAGACGAGATGTTACGGGCTTTGTAGGAATGACTCCTTGCTGCTGTTGCCGTCCTTAAACTTTGCCTTAAACCCTAAACGCTGATTAGAGAATCCTGATCAAGGGTTAAAATGTTGACCGCTGTGGTGCGGGGCTGACAGTTTCCCGAAAATAACTGTACCACAATCTGCTGGCACACCCCATTCTTGTCACTAAGCCCTAAACCCTAAACCTTAGGCCCCTACAAAGAAATACTTGCCTTCTGCAGCTCGCAGGTGCGGCGGCAATTCTTCCAGAATACTTTCGCCACTCGGCAAGCAAGTGTTTCTACCCCTAAACCCTAAACCTACACAGGAACCTCCCCAAGTTTCGCCCTGGCTGCACTTCGACTCCCATTCCTTGGCTACATGTATAACAGGGCATTGGGCAACTACCAGTAGTATGGACACTGCAAGGGTCATTGCAAAGAGGTACAAAGTGGTTAGGTACTATAGGCATTCTACACCCTATAGCCTTCTAACCGCCGGACCCTGAGACCACGAGATTTAAACCGTGAAACCTACAACCCCTAAACCCCAAAGCCTTGCGCCAGAAAACCCCAAAACCTGAAACATAACCACAACAAAGCTCCAGACCCTACAAGCCCCAAGCCTAAAACGTTAACGCCCCAGGTAGCTCTCAAGCATGACTTAGGCTGACAAAACCTACATGGAGCGCCAGTTCTTTGTGGCATCCACGCTGCATGCGCAGCCCTTAGTTTGTATATGTGTGTGTGTGTGTGTATGTATATATATATATACACACACACTACACACATACATAGGCATATACACATGCATATACATGCTTGCACATACATACACATGAGTATGCATATAGCATCTTTGTGTATACATATATATGTATATATATATATGTATTTATTTTTTTGCGCATTCAGACAGACAGACAGACAGACAGACATACATCTATACGCATGTAGGGGGCTCTATCATCCAGACGGGATTCTGGAAGGATTATTCTAGGGTTTAGGGCTTTAGCGGGGGCAGGCTTAGGGGCTACGGGCTAGCGTTGATGCAGTTTGACGGGGGTTTGGGTTTGGGGTTCAGAGTTTTAGGCTGTATGCGGGGCTTTTGGATTTGAAGGGCTCCGGGTCTAGAAGGGGTTATGGGATGTGGTATTTAGGATCATTGGGGCGCACACGGACTGCTGACAGAGTATCTAAGGTGTTGCTGCCCACTGCAAAGAAGGGTAAGAACCTCAAGGCCAGGTGCAGGGCGGCTGGGCCCGTGTTTCTTGCGATTATATCCACAAAAAGCCCTGTATTAGCTCTGTGGCAAAACAGCATCACTATCATACTGTGTTAATCAAACCTGCAGTTGCAGTAGCCCTCAGCAGCACAGTTTCGTGGATGCTGTCATTGAGAATTTTTGGGTAGCAGTGCTTTGTCTCTAGGGCTTCGAGGGTTGCGGTTGGGACTTGCGGCATGAGCCTGCCCGCCCAGTCGATGTGGACGGGCAGGTAGTGCACTGTCATGTTTGCACGTCAACAACAGGGGGGTCGAGTTCAAGCAGATTCATGACTCTCTGCTTAGGCTTTCTAGGATGGTATCTTGCTTCCCGGCTGGATCCTGGAGTGTTTGCCACGCCGGAAGTCTGTATGTCTCTAGGGGCTACACTCATCCCTCACCTCAAGACCGGCAGGCCACACCCTTGGACTGAAAATGCGAGTTTTATCAAATGAGAAGGTTGCGAGCCACAAGGCTCAAACCCGAAGTCCAAGATCACGGGCACTAGAAAGCCCCAATTCTAAGAATGTCCTTTACTGCACCCATAGGGACGTTTATGGCGGTATATAGCCCTGAAGCCGAGTGATTGCCAAGGAGCCCTACCTAGACCCTCAGACTCATATCCTAAACTTCTTAAACCCCTTTAACGGCGAAACGCTCAGGAGCCTAAACCCCAAGCCCCAAACAGTTGTGAAGGTAGTTGAGCTGGAGCCTCTGGATGGAAGGTCCGGGCCCCTTTCCACGCGAAGCTTTGCCATCTGAGTGCTCTCCCAAAACAAAACTCTAGGACATTTTCAGGTGGCGTTAGTCTCTAACTGTAGGATCCTTTCCATACTCAGAGGCTCCAAATAGCTCTAGACTCTACATATACGACCATGAGCCCAAAAGACCATCCATATTATAGCTTTAGGGGCTTAATTCCACAATGATAATCAGCATATATGGCCTTTGGGATACAAATCAAAACTGGGGTGTGGACATGATCGCCACAAACCACACTACAGCAAGCTGGGGTAGGGCGCGGTGTTGAGCAACGTCGACCGCAGCTAAGAGAATCCATCAACAAAGACCCTGTAAGGCCGTGAAAGATAGCTTTCCATAGCTGATAGAAATGTCGCAATCGTCAAATTCGCTGATAGTTCCTGTTCATGGATATATATATATATAAATAGTTATGTACTTATTTATATTTATTTATTATTTATTTATTTGTTTATTTATGTATTTGCTTGTTGTTGGTGATTATAGTATGTAAGGGGCCCTCAAGCCTATTCTACTCACCCTATGCTAAGTCCCCAACGATTTAAGAATCCCCAAACTCAACGCCTAAAACCCGTCCCTCAAAGGAGCCCTTAAGGGAAACCTTATAGATTCCTGAAGGGAGCCCTTAAAGGAAACCTTATGGACCCCTTAAAGGAATCCTAAAGCGAGGCCTTCTTGGCCCAGGTACATCGGATTCCTGAAGCCCGGGGCTGACGAAAGGAAAACCATGAGATGGCGGCAGCCTCAAAATCAGGGGCCTTGAAGAATTGACATGGGATTTGGGTTGTGTGTGTGCACACATACAGACATACATACGTACATCTACACATATACATACTCATACATACATTTATGCATATGCATATATACATATACACACATGTATATGGGCGCGTGTGTATCTATCTATCAATCTTTCTTTCTTTCTTTCTATCTATCCGGTCTATCCTGTCTATCTATCTATCTGTCTATCTATGTATATATATATACATATGTATATATATATATATGTGTGTGTATGCACACACACACACATATTATATATATATATTTATATTTATATTTATATTTATATTTATATTTATATTTATACATACATACATACATACATACATACATACCCACCCATATAAAGAAAGAAAGAGAGAGAGAGAGAGAGAGATCTTTAGGAGGAGGGCATCTCATTTGTGTGTATATATATATAATCCTATATACGTACCTGCTACTCTTTACTCCGACCCTGTAGTAGGCTCTCAGTTTCGGCTTGGGGGTCTACCGGAACCATGAAGAACCTTTCCTTACTATGACTTCCTTATACAAGTTTTTAAATGGGTTGGTCATTTTGGGGCTCAGGGTCTAGGAGTCTACAGTAGGGTTTTGGCCAGGGTGAAGGGCATAAGCACTGGTGTAATTGGTAGGGGCCTCAAGAATTACCCATGGTTCCTTGTTTATACGTAGTATAACATACCCCAAAACCCTATTCTAATTAGTCAGGCGGGATACAGGGGGCCACTCTCCTTGGCCAGTCACAAGCGGCGGGATTTCAAACATGAGCTTTTAAGGTCTTTTGATCTAAGGGCTGAAGGTTTTGGGATGGGGCTTCATTACAGCTTTAGGACAATCTGTGCCCGGGTTTTCAGCGGCCTTTGCGTTTATGCGTGTTTATACGATTTCAGGAGTTAGGGTGCCGTCTATTGTCTCAGTCCCGGTATTGCCGAGTGCTCATGTCAATTTGTGGCACATGTTGTTGTCCACGTTGTGTTTACTTGCGAAAACTGAAACACTTTGCTTTCTTCATCTGCCATGCCGGTTGTTGCGGCGGTGGCGGTTCATGGCGATGGTGATGTTGGTCAGTTGGATGCTGAAACTGATGGCGGTTACGATATCGACCCCGGGTGCTTCTTCTTCCCTGATCTTCCCTGTCAGTTTTCATTTCCGACCACCCAGGATTTCTGACATGCAGACTTGGTTTTCAACATTCAATCACAGTTTTCTTCAAAAGCGAAGCCCCTACACCCCTAAAAAGGAAGGACACAAACCTTGAACCTTGGACCATAGACCCAAAGCATGGAACCTTGAACCCTAAACCCCCCAAAACATTGAAAGAACCTTGAACCCTGAACCCCAAAACATGGAACCTTAAACCCTAGACCCCAAAACATTGAAAGAACCTTGAATCCTAAACCCCAAAACATTGAACAAATCCCTAAGCCCCTAACGCTGGCGCCTTCGAAGCTCTGTGCTCAGTGCCCAAAAGGTTCTTGGACGAGTACATCGCTGTCGGCACCTGGTTTGCACTTGCCCGGTTTAGGATTTAGGGTTTAGGGTAGGTGATAGTAGAATATAGTCTGATATTGGTACTATATGGTCTTATCTAGTATAGCATAGCATAAGACAGGTAGTATATAAGTAGTACATAGTATTACACATGATAGCTTGAAAACAGCAACTCCCAAACACTAACATAGGAGCCTGATCAAGAAACCCTGGCCCTATAACCCCAAATATTAGGCTTCATATAGAAACCCTAATAGAGACCCGGGTTTCTTAATCAGGTTCCTACACTAGGAGAAACAGAGCTCCAAAACCCCCCATGGGCTTGCAAAGCCCCCCCTTCCCATATGAAACGGAGCATGTTGAGTTTAGCACTCATGGTCCCTCTCACCTGGTCCTTATAGTACGCCCACCTCGAAGTTTATTCAGGTTCCTGCACTGCAGGTTCACACTGCGACAGTAGGGTGGGCAAGGCTTCAGAGGAGCCCAAAGCTGTAGTCCTGCACGAGTCGTCGGGGTGTAGGATTTGGGGTTCAGGGGTTGAGGGGTTGAGGGGTTTAGGGTTTAATATTCAGGGTTTAGGGTTCAGGGTTAGGTCTTTGTGGCCCTCCACCTTTGATCAGCTGTCCTTTTTGTTGGCTCATTTGCTGTGAGGCAACAGCTTGTGGGAAGCCGGCACTGAGAGCGAGCTCGTCAAGAAGCTCAAGAAGGAGGCATAGGACGATGGATACATGTTTCTTCAGAGTTTAGGGTTGGGGTACTGGTGATGACTTTCGGCTCTGAGGGGGAGCAGCCAGAGTAGCGGCGGCATGTAGGCTCACTTCTGCCGACTGCAATGCACGGAAGAGGCAGGTCCAGTGCGTAGCTGCTGCCACCGCAGGGTTTCCCAGCAGACATTTGGCTCATAGTCGAACTCAACATGTCACTTCATCATCAACCCCCAGAACCCGACACCATGACAAAACCCTGAAGCCACAGGCTAAAGCGAAATCCTAGACCCTGAACCCTTATTACCTTAATCCTAAACCGAAGGACACCCGTTTGAACTTAGCTGCGCCAGCAAAGTTCCTAGCAGAACCCTCGTCCGTCCACGGATCGACGCAGGGCTGGTGTCTGAAATTCTGCCAAAAAGCTGTTCTGTGGTGTTCACCCCCAAACACTGTTTTAGTTTGAAGGCCACTATACCAAAAACCTATACTGCAGCAATCATAAACCCCTATGCAAGTTACGTCAATCATGGTCGCTATAGTAGCAAGAAGCTGTCCATGCTTGCCTGGCGAGGCCCTCTGGTTGTTTCAGCACCGAATTCTGCATCCAAAGTCCATAATGAGAGTCTTTAGATTACATGGGTTCCGACAAGTGCCTCTATTGGGCGAAATAGGGTTACTCGCAAGCTGGTTGGTTACCTAGGCTTGCTATAAGGGCTTCTATAGCTATACAGCAGAATGATGTAACGATAAGCGATCAGTAAAAGGGTTGTCACCTCAGTAAGAAGGCTTGCTGCAGGAGTTTCGGGTTGAGGCGTAGCCTTCCGGCTGACATTTTACTTCCACCTGCTTCCTGCACACGGCGTGCAAGAAAGGACATCTCAGCCCATGGTGGCTGCAGCAGACCCCACACCGTGAACCGCAAAGTCTAAACCCTTGTTTCCTCCGCAGGGTAGCCTTATTCTTAGCCCTAAATGTCCGACCTGTGTGCTTGATCGACTGGCGTTTTTTACTCCGTCGGATTCTCAGTATCAAGCCCGGGAAAGCTTAAGCCCCTCAAACCCTAACCAAGCCCTGAACAAACCCCTGAAAACCTGAATAAGCCCGTTATAGAACAATACAAAGCCTGTATATTGCGGTTCAGCTTTCGGGTGTCCCTTGTAGGAGCGCCATCAAGATTCCTGACCTGGCACTTGATGATGGGGCCCTGCCGACCTAAAGACTTCAATCTCACATCTTGAGCACAATCTAAGGCCGGTTCCCTACGGGTCCAAGAACCTCATAATCATATACTCTCCCAAAGATCATAGCCTACAAGACTAAGGGGTCCCTGGGACCCCGGGTTTAGAGAGAATGTTCAGGGATTATTCAAATTCACTACGGCCCCCCGTATTTGATTCAATACCAAGGCCCAGGAACCATAGTGTCCTGAATCTAGGCTTGCTAGCATTCTTGACTGAGGCTCATGTGAGACTGCCTCGGTGGCGTCTGACAGTACAGAGAGATTCTCCAAGTCAGTGTTATCCCTTTAACTTCTTGTCAGGCTATGACTCCGAGACCTGGGACAGTAGCATAGAAGATCCCCGCTGCATGAAGCCTTTTCAAGCACTAGTTGGCGAGGCTTAACAGATGGAGTGCGACATCCGACGTCAAATTGCCACCTATAGGCCTGCGCGGATTCGACTTGAGGTTGCGGGTGCAGGTCGAGGCCATGGTATGAGGGGCGTCAAGTTTTTTGGATGTCGAAATCAGGAAGAAAGCCCTGATTCTGATGACCAGTATGATATGTTGCTTTTTAGATTATGCTCAATATCAGTGTTATCATTGGTATTTTTCCTGTTACTATGATTTTATGTTATCCACACTATTATCACTGCGTTCACTGTGTTGGTTTGGATTGTGGGGATTGGTTTAGGATCCGACTGTCGGGGGTAACGGGGGTTTGGGGCTAGGGGCCCCGAATAAGGACCTATTGAGGATTCAAAAAGCCAGCTACGGAAGTCCCCTACCCCACCCCCCCCTTCTTAAACAGATACACTGTGGGTCTTGATGATTTAGTCCAGCTGGGGACTGCTCGTACTTTCTGTTTGCAGATCGACAAGACCAGCTGGGGATCAGTAATTTATATAAGCCGCCCTATACTCGGTCACCTAGTACTCATATCAACAAGGTCATCAACAACAGCAAACAGCAGCAGGAGCGCCAGACCCACACCAACAACAATACTTGTCACAGCTATCCTGGCAACCCAGACCCTCATGAGCCCCTTCACCCCTCGACCCTTAAATCCTTAAACCTGCACAATCCACAAACCCTGCCCTTCAAGCCCAAAAGCCGTAACCCTAAACGCCCTAAACTTACACCCTAAACCCCAATCCCTAAACCCCAACCCTGAAACGTAAACCCCAACCCCTAGAGCCTCCATCCCAAACCCATATAACGATCCCGACCGAAGGATCCCAGCGCGATGTTGTCCAAGTGTTTGGATCACCTTGGGCTCGGCCCCCGGGGGCGTTCGGAACTCGAAATCGCGAAATCCTCCGCCCCAGGCTCTTCATGTACCTATTTGGGGGGGATCCTTATTTTAATTTTTATACTATACAGGACCCCAAAACCCTATTCTAGTGATTAAGGCCCCCTATATTACCTGTAAACTCCATTGCAGTTCCTTTTGTTTTTGGTTTACCCACTTTACATGAAGGATCCTGTAAGGTACCCGTACCAAAAAACAGGAATTGCATTGGAAGCTGTAGGTAGGAGCCTGATTTAAACGAACTCGGGTCTTTGACAGGGCTCTTGATCTGGATCCTAATATTTTGGGCGTTTACAGGACCAGGGTTTCTCAATCAGGTTCCTACATTACCGCCCAAGCTCGAAGTCTTTAGGGTTTTGAGGGTTTTAGGGTGTGGGGGTTTAGGGCGTAATTTAAGACTTGGGGTGTTAAGCCTTCCAGGTTTACCCGAGCGTTATAAAACCTGCGTTTTAGGGCTCGTTTCTATGATGCCCTTATAAAAGTCCTTAAACTGGTAGGTTATGTGGAGGTAAGGTGTTTGAACTTTGAACCCCACAAGAACCACCTCGCATGTTTAGCTGGTTTCTGTTTGGAAACCCTAAGAAAAGAACAGAACCTTAAACAGGTGGGAAGCCCTACCTTGATCCTATGAAACTTGCATCTTCGGGGTCCCTTATATTAAACTTCGGGACAATAGTCCGTAAAGCGGCTGTTTGGGATTAAGGTGGGGTTTAGGGCTTGGGACCCTTGGTCCATTGGCACGATAGTAAGTTCCTGCAACCTTGAATTTTCTGAAGCCTACACGTTGCGTAGAAATAGTGCAGTCCAGACCCTAAGCCTGAAGCCTACAATCCAAACCTGTAGCCTTTATGTCCTGACATGTCCTGCTTAAACGCATACATACGTAAATATACGGGCAAATATGAATACCAACATTAAATGTACATCTAGAAAAATGTATCGACGAATGCTATGTATACATATGTACATCCAGCTTCCTGAGCTTGAAAACTTATGAACGTCAAAGAGCATGCCTGACTCAATCCTGCAGATCTGAATTCCTTGCGCAGGGTCCTCCACAAGAAGAATAATCTAATTACCCACCAAACCTTAGACTAATTACTCAATAAAGAAGGGGGCATAGGTGCACATGAATAAGTGTATACAGAGAAGTAAACAAGTAAACATATATTAATGTATACTTACACTCAGACAGACATACATGCATAAAAGCAACTAAATCCAGGCTCCGCAGCTTCAGGGCCTGGCTCCCAGCTCCCTCAGCGAGTGAATATCAGCCGGAGGGGGTACTTTCCAGGATTCCAGTCAGGGTTTACAGTTTAAGTTTTAGAGTTCAGGTGTTAGAGTTTAGTAATTGAGGGAGGGTTCAGCATCCCTTGCAGCCTCAAGCACCTTACATTTCAGCAGCAGGGTTACGGTTGAAATCGCATCGAACGGTTACTTGAGCATCGGATGTGCAAGGACTGACGAGTCGACGAGTCTTGCTTTGGATCCCCGGCGGTTTGGACTGAACGGTGACGATGTTCATGATGAAGGCAGCGACTTTGTCGCAGAGTGAAGTGTTCACTGATAGATGGTTACTTGCAACTTCAATTAAGGGCTTTTCGTAAATGACTCATCACCTACTACCATGGCCATCACTGCTAGTTAAGTTAGGACTGTACTACTGTGAGTTGCTTTGACTAGTCCCAACTGGTGTGCAGTCCAGGCCATGGCCCTGTTCACCCTGTTCCTGTGCAGCGTGCGGGGCCTCAGTAGAGCAAGACGAGAGCGACTGAGGTCCGTGCCGAGAGCCTCCAACTTGCCCTGAACAGCACGGGTCAGGAGGGTTTCAGTATACATGTCTTACAAAACCGAAACACTTCGGAGCGCAGGCCACGAAAACAAGAGAAACAAACTTGTTTCACCCGCCCTCCCCCCAGCCCCCAGGTATCCGGCATTCTGAGCAGCATTCATCTCCACCTGACGGATCCTTTAAAGCAGGGTCTGAGACCTCCCAGAAATCTAACCGTCTCTAACCTTTCTGAATGCACGTGGGCCCATCGCTTTCGGTGCGTGTACCTATCGTCTTCATTGTAGTTCATGTTTTGGTTTTTATCCAGTTTTATATTAAGGATCCTCTAAGGTAACCCCGAAAAAGGACCTACAATGGTTTACAATGGAGATTGTAGGTATATCCTGGTAGGCTCGGGGGCTTTAGGCATGAAGTTTTTGATTATTAAAAGTGAGCAAAATGAGGCTCCTCCGTATTGGGGTTTAGGGTTTAGGGTTTGGTGTACTTTCACAAATCCTGCCTTCAAGCAGAGTTGATGATAGGGGTGCTTGTCTCCTGTACCGATGGATGCAGAGACGACGAGTTGGGAGGCTTGTTCAGCAAGCGCCGGTTAGATATCGAAACGTTCAGTTGTGAAGGCCGCCTATTCGCTCATCATGTTCTTCGGCGGGCCGTGGGAAATTCCGTTGGAGAACCAGG